GATTTTCAGTAAAATAAGACCCAGAAGTACTTAAGAAAGATTTTGGTTGTAACTCTATTCATTTAATTCTTTAATTAAACAAACAATAGTGAATGGGAGTTGAAGAGTGTCTCTGGGTTCATTTAAACAGTGGTAACAATAGTAACATGTAATAACAAACCTGAAAGGCGATGTAGAGTAGATGTATATGTGAAGGAGTGGAGTGCATGGTGGGTTGTGGAGGCAAGGGAACACACGATTCTGTAGCCTGCTCCCTTAACTCTCTATAAATGTTATTTCTGTACCAGGCTTCGTTTATATACAAGTTGTATACAATTACAAGTGGAGACCTGCAAGAAACTTGCGGGATGGTTATCCCATTCTTCACACCTTTGTTTCTTCCCCTCACTACCTCTCTCAACATCTTTCTCCCTTCTGCCTCCCTTTTCTTACTCTCTATCGCTCCTCCATGCATGTTACTTCCTCTCTCTTTCTGCCCCATCATTCTGTTTTTCTGCCTCCCATCCTCATTACTCTTTCTGCCCCCCACCCCATCACTCTCTTTCTGTCCCCATCACTCTACCAGCCTCCTGCCTGCTTCCTCCCCCACCCCACCCCACCCCACGCAGCAGCAGCAGCAGTGGTGGCAGTGCTCCCAGCCACTCACCTGCTTCCTTTCCCCCCACAGCAGCAGTAGCAGCACTCCAGGAATCACAACAGATCTCCCAGCTACAGAGATCAATTCACCTTAGTGCTGCCAGCTCCAGGTGGGAAATTCCTGCAGTAGTGGCAGCTCTCCAGGAATCACAATGGATCTCCCAGCTACAGAGATCAATTCACCTTAGGGCTGGCCAGATCCAGGTTGAGAAATTCCTGGAGATTTGGGGGTGGAGCCTTGCAACAGTGAGGCTTGGGGAGGCCAGCAGCCTCAGCAGGGTATAATGCCATAGACTCAACCCTCCAAAGCAGCCATTTTATCTATGGTAACTGATCTCTGTCACCTGGACAACAGTTGTAATTCTGGGTGATCTCCAGCCCTCACCTGGAGGCTGGCAATGGTAGTTCTCGTGGAGGAAATGGCTGGTTTGGAGGGTGGAGTCTATGGCATT